TGAGATTCATATATTCAGCAACCTGCTGGATATCTCTGGGTATTCTTGGCACCTCAATCTCCATATGTCCTGTTAAGTTGATTGAACAAGGGCATTAGACTGATGTGGCTCTAAGGCCATGGCAGCCTGCATAAGCAAACTAAAATGTAAGCATATAAATGCTTCGAGGTTATGAAATCAAAACACTGAGGACAGTCAATCACAAAGAGCCAAGTGGACAATCAGTTTCTTCTCTTTGCTTCCATACCTTCTCTATAAAAGTGTTTTCCCTGACTCCTGTTGGCAGAGGGCTCCTAACCACTTCTGGTTTGATGCTGTTTGATTCTAACTGAATTTTGCTCAGATAAACTCTTATAATTTTAATATGCCTCAGTTTATCTTTTAAACTGAATTCACTGTTCCCCTAAACTAACCCATCTCTTGTATTTTCTATCTCACTTGGAGATACCATTCTTCTCCCAGTCAGCCTAATAACTAAGGAGTTATTCTTGGTCCTTCCTTGTCTCTGATGTGGTTCAAGACACACTATCCCAAAATATGACATGTTGGCATATTGAATATTAAAGCTGAAAGATTTTGAGAGATGGTAGGCACAAGGAAGTCCCCACTGACCTCTCCTGTCTCCCTTCAGAAAGGTCATAAGACCTTCATGTGAGAGATGCCCTCCCTTTACCAGGAGGAGACATCTGTTACCTCTGCAGACAGAGGGGTGCTGTGTGAGCTGGACTAGCGCCATCTTGGATGAATCCACCATGACTACCTCTCTGTAACCCAAAGCCTTCTCCAGCACAGCTGCCCCCTCCCACACCTTCTTTTTGTCTAACCATACCCTTAAGTACACCCTTGAGGCATAACATCCTTGACCTGCTCTGGAGATATGACTATGACCCAACTCTTCTCAAACATTTCCTCTGGGGGTGGTCTCCCAGGACATATTCCCCTGCCTCTATGGCTAAAAAAGCAAGTCTTATGAGAGGTGGCGTTGCAGAGATCTACTCATCTTGCAGCTGCCCAAGACACTAGAGTCCTTTTAGTAAACCATCTCTTGTCAAGCTGGACTTACCAGGCTTTTTCTTTGGTCTTATGGCTCCTTCAGTCTTTGGAGGTAGTTTTGCCTATACCTCCCTTAGATGATGAGAGGAATCAGAACGAACAGGCCGTGCTAAGTTTCTTCCAGTTTACTACCCTTAGCTCATATTCTTTTTTTTTTTTTAAGATTTTATTTATTTATTTGACAGAGAGAGACACAGTGAGAGAGGGAACACAAGCAGGGGGAGTGGGAGAGGGAGAAGCAGGCTTTCCACTGAGCAGAGAGCCCGACGCGGGGCTCGATCCCAGGATCCTGGGATCATGACCTGAGCCGAAGGCAGATGCCCAACGACTGAGCCACCCAGGCACCCCCTCATATCCTTTTATCCTATTGCATTTTACTCACGACCTACCACTCTTCATCAAACCTAGCATAAAAACAATCTGGTTTAACTGCTTTGTTGGGTTTTCATTTCCTTATGAAGGCTCCAATGTCATGTAAAACATACTTAAAAATCAATTTGCATGCTTTCTCTTGTTCATATGTCTTTTGTTTCAGAGTCCCAGAAAAGAACCTAGAAGGGTAGAAGGAAAAGATATTTTTTTCTTCCCCTACATCTCTTGACACACCAAACCTGAAACTAATAATGAATCAGTTGGTCCTGTTGATTTTTTTATTCTAATTATTTCTCAATTCCTTCTATCTACTTAGTTCAAGCCCTCATTCTCCTTCATTGAATTACTACAACAGCCCTGCAGAATGATCTCTTTCCCCAAATTTTGTCAAACCCCAATCTCACTTTGATTGCCAGATATATTTTTCAGAGTCACACATCTGACCCAGACCTTCCCTTGTTTAAAACTCTACCTGGCTTTCCGTCACTCACAGGATAAAGTAGACGCCCTATCTTGCTGTACAAGGGCCTCCATGATCTACTTACCTCAATCCTACAGCACTGAACCAATTGTCTTTCCCAGCCTGTGTTACTGTGTCTCACCTCTCGCCCTTGTGCACACCCTCCACACTGCTAAGAACAACTAGGTTTATGTGGGGAACAAAGGCAAGAGGAAAAAATTAAAATTTCCTTACTACTTACAGCCCATTGACAAGTCCTTGAAACAGGCAGAGTGACCTCCCTCTAGGAACTCAATTGCCTGGATGTTAATACTTTGCTAAGGGCAAAAGGCCATTTTAGCTTAACACTATCCCAACCTCCCAGATCCTTTAACATATAAAAATTCCTTTGGAGACTTCCTTTATTTCTACCCCAAGATCTATTTTAGCAATCATCCTCCAAGCATATGGCCCACTGACACATCCGTAGGGTCTCATGACTAGGGTTTTACTAGACAGGAATAACTGATCTTTTCCTAACAATACCTAGCCTCCTCAGGGTCCTGGAAACCTTGCTTCTGAAATTCCTTAGAGATTTACACTATCCCTAACCCCCTCCCAACTTGAAAGTATATAATCAATTGCTCCTCACAAACCCAAGGCAGCTCTTTCTGCCCATGGGTCCTGTCCCCATGCTTTAATAAAACCACCTTTTGGGACTGAAGACACCTCAAGAATTCTTTCTTGACCCTTTGTTCCGAACCCCAACATTTCCACATCATTGCTTGCCTCTCTTCTTTTCTCACTTAACTCCCAGGTGTCCTTCAGGACTCCAAAGAAGCTTTCCTTATATTTTCCTTTCTTCTTATTGGTTAAAACAATAATACTATGTGAAAGAAATAGAAAAGGAACCACAGAAGAGGTTAGAATGTCTAGACAGTGAGTTTGGAGAATCAGAGGCAAACTGCCTAAAGAAGAGATTCTGACCTGAAAAGAAAAGTTCAAGCAAAGGAAGGCGATTCAGAAAGAGAGTTATAGAGGCTGATGGCTGAGTCTGTCAGAAAAATGAAAATGAGGGGCATCTGACTGGCTCAGTTGGTCATGAGTTCAAGCCCCATGTTGGGTGTAGAGATTACTTAAAATCTTAAAAAAAAAAAGAAAAATGAAACGTCTTTGTCAAGTTCTTAAGAATGGCTCTTTCAATATTAGCAAATGATATACCAGACATAAATGTACGTTTTTAACTCATAAAAATGATGTTAGTTTTGAAATCAAGCTATTTCTTCTTTGATAATGATAAGCTCAGAAAATGCTCACCCAAGAGATAGAAAGTAGAAAAGAAAACAAGGTGGATTTACGTATAAGTACATAATCTTTGCAAACATTATTGACAAAAACAATCTGAGAAAGGTGACAGTTGAGGCCATTACCTTATTTTTCTCCTTCTCAAGGGAAGATTCAATTACCTTGTGAGTGAGAAGAAAGACAAATCTTAAATCTTGAGGAAGGATAGATCCTTTTTCAGCCCACAGTTCCTGTTAATGGAGTGTCATTGTTTATTGAACGAAAAACCACGAAGCAAGAAATCTCTAGGCTACAGGAATGCCTCTGCTTGTTTTAATTTATATTTAAATTTTAAACAGCTTCATCGTGGTATAATTGACACACAATAAGCTGCACATATTTACAGTGTACAATATATTAAGTTTTGACGTCCATCACCACAATCAGGATGATGAATATGTGTAATGTTTCCTTACGCCCCTGGTATTTTCCATAGTTTTAAATAAGTGGAATAATATGGTATGTACTCTTTTTTGTCTAGTATCTTTCACTCAGCACAATTATTTTGAAATTAATCCATGGTGTTATGTGTCTCAGTTATTCATTCCTTCTGAAGTGATTAAGGTTACATTTAAAATTCAATAATATTGAATGAAGAAAAGAAAAGTTAAAGAAAATTCAGAGTCTCAGGTTCAAGAAGAAAGACTTTGTCTCGTTCTTCCTAAAGAATGTGGTGGTGGGGCAGTGTATACTTGATCACCTGCTTATGCCTGTCCAAAACCTGAGAGTGTTCCTCAGTAACAGATGCTGAAACACCTGCGATGTACACAGTGAATAAGTCCATGGGAGGGGCAAGGAAGAAGAAGCACTTTCCTGTTCAATCCCATTTATTTTGTTTCTTTATTTTAAAAAGATTTTATTTATTTATTTGAGGGAGAGAGCATGAGGGGCTAGGGACAGAGGGAGATGGAAGGACAAGCGGACTCCCCGCTGAGCCCGAGATCATGACCAAGCCAAAGTCAGCCACTTAACCAATCCAGCTACAGAGATACCCCAAGTTGATTCCCATTTATAACCACACATGCACACTTCTGCCCAACTCAATATAAAAGATTTGGATAGAGACACCTGGATGGCTCAGTCGGTTAAGTGGCTGCCTTCAGCTCAGGTTGTGATCCTGCGGTCCTGGGACCAAGTCCGGCATTGGCATCGGGCTCTCAGCTCAGCAGGGAGTCTTCTTCTCCCTCTCCCCCTCCCTCCCCGCTCATGCTCTCTCTCTCTCTCTCAAATAAATAAAATCTTTAAGAAAAATAAAAGATTTGGATATATCTATGAGGTATGACTGGTTCCTAAAATTTCAGGACTGCAGTATTATAACAGGTGGTAAACCACTTCATTGCTACCTCAGTTTCCCCAGTCTCTAAATTGGTTTAAGTATGTTATCCACGTGCCCTACACCAATGGGGATACCTTTTAAGAGGACAGCATTTAAAACAATGAAAAATAACAACCAGGGCTGACAGTAAGTATTTTACTAACAACTGTTTTGAAATTGGAAGGAAAAGTAATAAGAATAAGAGGAGTCCTCAAATATGAATAGGTGATTTCTGTATATTTGGAACTAAAAACAGTTTCCTATAGAAATACATCGTAATTGTAGTAAAGAGAGAACATATTCTGGGCATGTCACAGCCTGTCCTAAATAAGGTGGGGAAGGGACGAGAACGCTAGTAAGAAGCAAGGGAAAGGTGGTTCACATATGATGGAAACTCCCAGGTTTGCTTTGGCCACGGTGTGCGGTAAGGACCGCGGGAGTCCATGAGCGGGCCCACCGGCGCCCCAGAACTACAATTCCCAGAATGCCACGGTGCAGGCTCTTCGGCGGATGCAGTCTGGAGCTCCCGGTACTGCAGGTTCGGCTGCTGGGCGACCCTGGACCCTCTGCGCTCATGGCTTCCCCAAGCAAGGCAGTTATTGTTCCCGGGAACGGAGGCGGGGACGTGGCCACGCACGGCTGGTACGGCTGGGTCAAGAAGGGGCTGGAGCAGGTAAGAGACACGAGCGGCTGCGCTGGGAAGTCAGCTTGGAGCTGGAGGGGATGGAGGGGACTGAGGAGTGAAGTTTGAACGTGTGTTCACCAGCCCCTACCCCACCCCAGCAAATCCCCCCTTTAGCACAGCCCAGTGTGTTTTCATTCCTCTCCCTGCTGCCCTGTCTCAAACACTAGAACTAGTGGTTGGAATTTTAGTGGGTAAAACTGCCTAGAAGACTTCCCTGAGGGCTCAGTCGCTAGGGTACAAGACACCACCTCCTGGAGCCCCGTCGGTCTCCCTGCATCTGCTGCTGGTTCAGATTTGGGACTTACCAGATAATTGTACATCTTCCTTTTCTGCTCCCTGCCTAAGCTATATGTAACATATATGTAAATTATGAAGTATAATGTAATGAAAACCTGAGTGAGGCTCCATCACCAAACTAAAATCTGCAACATTAACAATAACTTCGAAGCCACATGTACGTTCCCCCATCCCATTTTCCCTACCATCCTGAAAATTTTTTCATTTGCCCCAACCCTTTTAAAAATGAACGTATTTTTGCAACCATGTGTGTATACTTTGAACATATTGTTTAATTTGGCTTCTTTATGAGCTTTATAAAAATGGTGACCAGCTGTAGTTGTCTTGTGCATCTTGATTTTTTTTTTAACCTCTTCCATAACCAGGCAATAGGACTGCTTCCTGGATTGCTATCCTCTAGAGCTCTAGAGTACGTTTCTAGAATAAAGTTCCAGGGTTGTGGCTGAAAACCAAGGCCAGAGCTACAATCCAAAAAGATCAGGGCTGAAGCTGTCCAAGACGGTGGGATCTCCAACTTTCTGTACCATGTTTCTGTACCATGTTTTACCTAATCCCTGGCGCACAGTCTGTTTGCGTATAGGTCAGTTTGTCTAGAATTGCATTCATTCATGATACCTCTGTAAATATATGCCTACAGCAATAAACAGAGATGTACAAGTGAGGATTCAGGTCTCTGTATATAGATACCTACAGACAGAGCTGGCTGGATATAGAACTACAGACAGATGGAGTTTATCAGGAGGGATTGTCTGTTCATATGGCACTTAACCCACTTCATTTCATATTATAAGCAAATATTTACTGAATTGATAAAGATCATATCAGGTGTCTCATTTCTTATTAGCAAAGTATTAGTTGTAATTAAGCTCTTTATTATAGCTTTTTTTCCCCCCCTCATATCTTAGATACCTGGTTTCCAGTGTTTGGCTAAAAACATGCCTGACCCAAGTAAGTTTTAAACGTGTTTTTAAATAGCCTCATCTTGTTGGGTTTTGATCTCGCCATTTTCCTGGTAGAGAGCAGGAATATCATAGTAGAGAAGCCAAAAGGAATATATACCTAAGAATGAATGATGGCAAGTAGTTTGGGGAAAAGAGCATAAACCAAAAAACATTCTAGAAAATTCTAATGAGGATCAAGAAAAGCACCTGGGCTTGGTAAAATTTAATTTTCAACTTTGCAAGCAACTAGATTTTCCCTTCTAGAAGTCAACATATATTTTCAGGCAAAATTTATGGGTATTTCATGTGAGACAGATATGATAAAACTTTACAGCACCTATAGGAGATCAGAATATTTCAAAATGTAACATTGCCACTTTTGTTCTGACTGTGCCTATGACTTGTGTCAGGAAATTCTTCTTTGGAAAGAAAGAATATATATGCATATGAATTTGAGAATGTCATCTAGAGTTTTTTTCTTAAGTTTGAAAGTTTACATTAAAACTTTAGAGTTATATTTTTATTATTTCCCCGGTATTTTCTTATGAGAACATGGTGAAAGATGAAAGCAAAACCAGATAGATGGACCAAAACTGTGGATTTGAGTCTTTCAAACAGCAACACATAAATCGTTCGCTCTATTAAAACAATCCCATCTCCCATATGGTCCTGCAGTTCTTAAGTTGAGAAGTGCTGAGTAGTCATCGGTTAGAAAGGTGGGACAGCATTAGACTTTAAGACTGTCCCTATCAAATGACACTCTTTCTTTACCCTGAACCTTAGTTACAGCTCGAGAGAGCATCTGGCTGCCCTTCATGGAGACGGAGCTGCACTGTGATGAGAAGACTGTCATCATAGGCCACAGTTCTGGGGCCATTGCAGCCATGAGGTGCGATCCTTGCTGAATTCTCCCCCCATGTGGGCTCCAGCTGGTTTGCAGACCTCATTGCAGTTCCTTGAACATGCCAAGTATGCACCTGCCTTAGGCTTGCGCTTGCCACTGTTCTACCTGGAATACTTGTTCCTAGATACTTGCATGGCTTTCTCTTCAAGTCTCTCCTCGAATGTCTCTTTCCACTAAGGCTTTCTCTAGTCACTTCAAATGAAACAGCAACTTCACCCCACTGGCTCATATCCCCTTTATATCTTGGTATCCCCCTTTTTATCTATAGCACTTTTCACCACCTGATATCCTGTTTATTTCTTGTCTGTCTCCGGCCAATAGAAATGTAAGTTCCGTGAGGGTGGGACTTTGTTCATTCTGACACTGAAACCTCAGTGCCTAGAAGAGTGTCTGAAATATGGTAGGTGCTCAGTAAATATTTGAGGGAGAGTGGAGGCTGTTAGCCCACCCTGCAACTCCCCCAGTCCTTAGGATTCATGACGCTTCCCTGATGCTCTCGGTTAGAACATGTCCCTCCCTTTAGGCTTATAAGGCCTAGAGGATAGGATTTAGCTGGCTGAGTAAGCATATTAAGGTTGGGTTTCTTCCATATTTGCTAAGCTGGATGACAAAGGAATATAGTTTTTGTGTAGCCCTTTGTCCCAAGCAGTTGCTCAGGATGTCATATGAATTGCATGTCAGAGAACCTTGCCAGATTCCATAATCTTTCTGCCACACCATTCAAAGCTATGAGATAATACTTCCCAATGTGGAGCTGCAGAATTTCTGTACAGCCCTAGTGTTTATAAGCTGTTAGGGGTTGTCTGGAAAATGAAGGAATCCCTTTATGCTGAAGTCTGTACCAACTCAAGGCCAACTGAATTTTTCTCAGGTCATTGGCTACTAAAGGTGTGCCTTCTTTTAAAGATCCCTGAAACTTACTGCAGGATTGTCCACAACCTTCTAAAAATTAACTTCTAAAGTTAAGGTAGGCAAGGAGAAAATTGATGCCAAAACTATGGGGTATGAGATTGTAGGGCAACAGGGTATTGATTTAGTCACAGAGGACCACCCCACAGATTACTTACTAATCACAAAGGGGACAATTGTGTCTTTACAATGGATATCTGATAGCAGTCACCTTAGTAATCACACTTAATCTCACCAATAAAGGGAAACTGGCATTGTGTGTCTCTGATGTGATGGAGTGGGACAGACACATTGCCTATGCGGTATTCTTGCCAAAAATGTTTAATCTCTGTCTAATCATGAGGAAAACAGCCAAATTCAGTTTAGGGGATAATATACAGGACAACTGGCTTAAACTCTGGAAAAAATGTCAATGTCATTTAAAACAAAAAATTTAAAACTGACTAGAGTCGTGAAAACAAAATGCAGTTCGTGATCTTTGATCTAGGATTGAAAAGCAGTTTTAAAGAACATTTTTGGTAAAACTGGGGAAAAATGAATAAGATAGTATTACCATCTCCGTGTTAAATGTACTAGTTGTAATAATGGCACTGTGGAGATATATGAGAGACTACCTTGTTCTTAGGGGATACATGTTGACATGTTTAGGTGTGAAATGTGGTAAAATGAATAAACCTAGTTGCTTCTTGTTCTTCTAACTTTTCTGTTAAGTTTGACATTTTTCAAAACAAATGGTTGGGCAAAAAGTTTAGCCTGAAAACAAAATACCAACCCTAAATCTTTCCTGGCACCAAGGCCTCTAGAAACTATTACCACCCCACATCTTTCCCTAGCCTAGTCTTTGCTGAGTGAGGGAACTTCATGCAAATAGTTAGCTGTCTGCTTGCCAGGCACTGTACTGGGCACCAGGGTTACAAAGATCAATTAGACTCACATCTGCCCTTAAGGAGCTGAAGGTTTATTGGGGAAGACAGATAAAATACGACACAAACAAGTACTACAATGCAATGTAGAGTATGTGGCAAAAAGAAGTACATTTCCGTCGTAGTACAGAATTTCTTAATATGGTTCACAGATCACTTGCCTTTGTCATCTGGGTTGGGGGAGGTCTCATGTCTTAAAATGCAGATTCCTGGGCATCGTACAAACCTTCTGAATCAGATGCTCTGGGACTGAATCTGCAGGTTAACCAACAAAGCAATACTGATGCATACTGAAGGTAGGTTAATAGGCACATCAAAGAGAATGATTACACTTTTTATGTTTTTTTGGAAAGGATTACCAAAGAGGTTTGGACTACCTTGAAAAATGAGTAGAAACTCATAAAATGGCCAAGGGTAAGCCATTAACAACTGGGCTTGTAGTTCTGCAGTTTCCTATTTTTCTTGTTAAACTTGACAGTTGATAGCACCTGCTTTCTGTAAGCTAAATCAAATGAGTTTTCAGGGTTTTGTTTTGTTTTGACTTTTTGGCAGATTTAACATTAAGTATTAGCTGACATTATTTCTCTTTCTCCAGGTATGCAGAAACACACCAAGTATATGCTATTGTGTTAGTGTCTGCATACACCTCCGACTTGGGGGATGAAAATGAGCGGGCCAGTGGTAAGTTTGAAGGCAGAAACCAATACAGAAAAGCCCTTTCTCTAGTCACAGGGATGCTTCTTCAGGTTAAACAGCACTGGCTTTTGGATAGGCTAAAAAAAACCTCTAGTATCATTTGAGAAACATTTACTGCCCTTCTTTAGCTACAAATTAGGCCCTTTGAGAGTTGATAGACCACTTTCTAATGCATTGAACCCTGATTTTTTGAGCTGTGTACTCCCCCTTCCCAAGTGGCTATGGTTTCAAGCTCTACAGATTTGAAAACTAAAGGACTTTTAACACTTAGGTCTGGTTCTTTGTGTCTCTGCTAGATATTTTACAATGGCTAGAAGGGAGATTATCCATGGGTGGTAACAGGTTATATATATATTTTTTCCCATAGGATACTTCAACCGTCCCTGGCAGTGGGAGAAGATCAAAGCCAACTGCCCTCACATTGTGCAGTTTGGCTCCACTGATGATCCTTTCCTTCCCTGGAAGGAACAACAAGAAGTGGCTGATAGGTTGGAAGCCAAATTGTACAAATTCAGTGACCGTGGCCACTTTCAGAACACGGAGTTTCATGAACTGATTAGTGTGGTAAAGTCTATGCTGAAAGTGCCAGCATAGACAGGATGGGATTTCTGCTATTTTGCATTCCGGTGTAGGGGTAGAGCAATTATCAGGTTATTAATAAAAATTATCTGTGATCAGATTAGTGGACACATAAAACAGGTCAAATTACGTTCTGAAAAAAACGCAAGTTCAATGTTCAAACTAAGTTACAAACAGCATTTTCATCTTCCAGAGGATCTATATCTCGCAAACTGCTATGAACTAAAGCAGTATTTTTCCCATTTGAGTCAGGACATAAGGACAGCTTAATTACCTTTATCTGTCCAAAGTGAATAAGCAGAAATGGAACCCAGGTTTCCTGATTCCCAGTCCAGATTAAAATGAAGTAGATTCGTGTATGTTTTAAGAGTGCTACTCCTCTTTGAAATGAACCTTTTGTTATTTGGGGGGTAAGAAAACACGACTAAAGGCCCAGAGTGCTGGCTTAGAGCTCAAACCACTAGCTATTTTGAGCTGGCCCAGGACATTAAACCTAGACTAGGGCCTCCCCATCTTTGACACCCTGCCCTGGTCCTTCATGGATCTGAGTCAGGGGTCAGCCAGGTCAAACAGGGACCATAAGCCCAGCCTGGGCATATATACATGAGCATAGCCAACCAGATCTGTGCTAGACCAGAGTGGTGGGGATTAGGGCAACATGGGGAACTCATATCCTGTCTAAATTGTTGCCATGTGGGAAGGGGGCAGGGTGTTGCCAATTTTCTGATTTTTTCAAGGAAAAAAATTTTATGCAGTGGTTTTTATATTTAGGGACTCTATATATGTTTGTATACACAGTTCATATGTATATGAGTTGTGTCCAATACATGTACATATGGATAAGTTGGCAACGACAGTTAAATAAAAAATTTACAAACACTGCAAGACACACAAAGTCCAAGCCACCCATTTGTGACCTCTGCCATTAGGATTACTTAGCCAGGTGCTTTAAATGATTCTCTCTGAAGCCTGAGAAATGAACAAAATGTCAAAGGATGCAGTCATGGGAACAATTTGAATTTTGTTACAAAATCTTTAGTATTTTTTAAAAGAATCTTTCCATACCTCAAATTTTGTTCTGTAAAGAATTCTACCTTTTAACTTCCATGGTCCTTTGGCTCTCTTTTAAGCCTCATTCCATGATTTCTTTTCTGATCATATTCCCTCAAAAAAATGCTTTTTATTTCCCAATATTTTTTGGCTATTATGATCCCTAAGTATTGCCTCAAACAACTTCCAGTGACTTCATACTTGGTGTTGCAGAACCTGATGTTTGCTGCAAAGATGTGAATTCCCTGTTTATGTCTAAAGGAGATTCAAAGCCATCATTTTAACTGGAAAAGTCTTGGTTTCTAAATGTGCTCAAAGAAAAAAGATAAAGACTCTCAACTTCTAATGGCAATTTCTTTGGGGAATAGGAATTTTAGATTTGGTGTGGTGGGAGTCTCCTTCTTATTTTGTACACCTGGGTATTATTTGAGTTTATTATAGTGAACATGTATTACTTTTATAAATAAAAAAATTAAGATTTAAAACAACTCGTTTGACATGTTAGTGAAAAATTCAATAAATCAATTGAATAATAATTTTCTTAAAGAGGTTGTTTAGCAATGATTTGATCAAGCCTATAACCAAATTTGATTCTTTTTGAATTATTTGGAATTAGTCATTGCTCTGCTTACTCAGTCTTGTTTTCTGAAGTCCTTTGTCAAAAAATTACAAACTTACACAAATAACAGTTAATAATATTTTGTTGTCCTCTTCCACAGAAAAGCAACAAATCTGTACAATTGAGAAATAATTATTTTTATATTCTTCATTCCTATAATTAATCTAGACCTATGATTGTTGAGTTGTGCTATCCAATATGGTAGCCAGTAACCACAGGTAGCTATAACATTAAAAATTCGGTTCATTCACACTAGCCTCGTTTCAAGTCTTAACAGCCACAAGTGACTAGAAGCTACCCTATTGAACAGCAGATATGGAATACTGTCATCAAAATAAAAAGTTTGTGGGACAGCAAGCATCCTAGGACATGTATTTTTATTCTCCCCTTACCCACCATGTAATAATAATGGTTCAAAGTAAAAGTCACTCAACTTAAAATTACTTGTTTGACTCATTTACTCAGTTGATCACCATAAAAATCAGGGCTCCACAAAATTTACTCCTCACCAAACCAAGCTCAGAGGAGTTTTATGGAAGAATCCCACATAAACTATCCATTTAAACCATTGAATCATGGACTCTCATGATTATTTGACTCCCAATGGATCATTATTAAGCGGAATAGAAGGGCCCTAACAGACTCCAGGGAATATCTATTCTCAGGTGACCAAAATACCTTATACTAAATGGAAATCAACTGTAAGGATTAGGACTTCACTCACAATATTTTTTGGTGTTGGGAGTCTACAGCTCCATAATATGTTTTGGTCACAGTTTACTTCTGGTGAGTAAATATCCATTTAACTATGTATCAGAGGTGCAGTATTTTTGTCTCTTTTCTCCTTCAGTTAATATTCAGAATGAAAGACATGCTGTGGGAAAAGCATTTAAAGGATTTCTTTATTCTGGTGAGTCAGGGAACTTTTGTTGTGGCCTCTGACTGTAAGCTTTAAAATCTTTGGCTATCAAGACACAGTGTAAAGTCATGAACTGCTTCCTCTCCCCAAGTTCAGTTTTTTCATTAAATAAGACTAGTGCCTCTGTGATAGGCCAGGTCCCAGGGAGGACAGATAATGTTCTTACTATTTTAGCTCTCGCTAGGGGTGGTGTAGTTTCAGGCTCTATCTCCTATACATCCAATACTTTGTTTCAAAATCCTAGTGTCATTGAATTCTGTTTCTATAGAGCTGGCCACAGACTCCGCCTGGTTCTTAGTTGGTTACTGAGCTGAATTTTATTTTATTGATCCCATATATCTCAAAATAACCCTTCTGATGTTTACCACTTGGGAGTATATCCAAACTGGTGTTTGAACTCAGGCCTCAGTAGTAGCTGGCTTAGAATTCCTTTCCTCTGGTCTCATGCTTTTGGCCTGGACACAGAAATCATTAAGGAGAACTACAAAGTGAAAGTACAACAGGTGAGATCCTAAAAAGCTAACTTCTGTGCAACAATACACCAAATTACCTAGGATTGAAAGTACCATTAGAACTGAGAACAATTATAATGGCTTTCCGCTTAGTTTAGACCAGTTACACCATGATTTTTAAGAGAGTAAGGAAACAAATCTAAAATAAGAAAAGAAGAGTGGTACCCTGCTCGAAATAAAGTGTGAATGGAGCGCAACAGATTATGGGGCAATTCTAGCAAATAAGGCAGTTGAGCCTGAGTAAAACTTGGAAGACTGACAAAGATGGACCAGTGAAAACATTCTCTTTAGGATGAGAATAATCATATTTATGCACTGAAAACATCCTTGACAATAGTCATCATTTGCATTTGAGGTAAGTACAAAGGCATAATCCTCTGAAAGAATATTTCTGATGTAAAAAGGAATGAATAGTATGTGGAAAGGGATGTTTCATTCTCTCCCCCACTCATGCCTCTAAGTGCTATTCCTACCTCACCGCTTTTGATTCCTTCTCAATGAAACCACTGAGAAAAGAGAAAACAGAAATGGCAATAGTGAACCAGATATAAAATTTTCCAATGAAGACCTTAATAACTTTAAAATGGGCATTTTTAAACTTTAGTCATTATTGTAGTATATGGCAAATATGGATTTGTTGGCTTCTTTTTCCATGAACCATCAAAAGTCTTGAAAGCTTCAGAAGGTGGTCTTCCTGAAGTTCAAAGTATTTTATTTATTGAAGAATGGATTTCACTATTAACCTTACCTGCTTCATATTCTGTTGGCTACTCTACCAATATAAATTTAGTCTTCATAGATAAAAAAATACTTTTTCATAGCAGCAAGTCTATCCATTATTGTGAAGTTTGCTTTCAAGGGAATTTGATGTTCCATCATGAGTTAAATTATCTGCTCCCAAAGTAACTTCATTTGCAAAATGTCAGTAAAGTTCCTAGTTCTCTATTAAAATTCGAGCCACTCTGTCATATAAATACAGTTAGATGGTGAAATCTCACCACCTTCATGGCAGTCATCAAAAACCTTTAAAAAAGAAAAAAGTTTACAATCAAATGAGAGTTTTAAAATTATTACATTTTAAGTCTCAAATGTCACCTACAACTAAAATTTCTGTTAACAAAGTATCCAAGACCCAACCATTGTTTTTTGTTTTTTTTTTAAAGAATTTATTTATTTGGGGCGCCTGCGTAGCTCAGCTGGTTAGGCGGCTGCCTTCGGCTCAGGTCATGATCTCAGGGTCTTGGGATCAAGCTCCGCATCGGGCTCCCTGCTCAGCAGGAAGCCTGCTTCTCCCTTTCCCACTCCCCCTGCTTGTGTTCTCTCTCTGTCAAATAAATAAATAAAATCTTAAGAAAAAAAATTTATTTATTTGACAGAGACACAGCGAGAGAGGGAACACAAGCAGGGAGCAGTGGGAGAGGGAGAAGCAGGCTTCCCATGGAGCAGGGAGCCCGACATGGGGCTGGATCCCAGGACCCTGGCATCATGACCTGAGCTGAAGGCAGACACTTAACAACTGAGCCACTCAGGCGCCCCGACCCAACCATTTTTTAAAGCAACATTAAAAATAAAATTTTTAGGGTGCCTGCATGGTCCAGTTAGTTAAGCGTCTGCCTTTGGCTCAAGTCATGATTCCAGGATTGGGATCAAGCCCCATGTCAGTTTCCCTGCTCAGAGGGGAGTCTACTTCTCCCTCTCCCTCTGCCCCTTAACCACTGCTTGTTCTCTCTCTTCCTCTCTCAAATAAAATCTTAAAAAGAGAGACTAGGGCTGTATTTAAGAACATGCAATAACAGACCGGCTGTGTGATTATAAAGTTAGTGAATGAGAAACCTTTCACTGTAGCACTAAGATGACCTGCTCATCTGCCACTGGGCCAAAGGCTATCAGCAGATAACAGGAAAGCAGATCTATATACATCACTAACCAAAGGTTTCATGTTAGCTACATTCCTTTTTTTGAAGGATGCTAAACAGAATTCCCAATATGCTTGCTGTTTTTTCTAGGACTTGAAACCAGCACACAGAGAGCTTAGGCATATAGACAAGGGCTAGTGTAAGGAAATAAAACCTACATCAGCAGCCCAAGAATATAAATGCCCCAAGGGCAGAAGCAGTGCCTGCAGCACACAGCTGGCATGAACTACATGGGACTGGATGAAGAGTGCTGGGGCGCACTGCAGGGGAAAGAACATGTCTGGGTTTGCGTCCTGGTTGTTACCTCGAAGCTGTAGCTCCTACAGCTTCCTTAGCTTCATGCTTAGGCGGAAATAATACCACTAGCTCCAAGGGACAGAAGTAGGATTAAATGAGACCACATAAATCTTTAAGAATATGCCTGGCCTGTGGTGGGTTCTCAGCAAATCTCATTTTCCTCCCTACTTAGGGTTAAATGATCAGCTGTCATTAAAAATTGTCCATTTCAGGGCCATGAGTAGAAGACACAAATTTCCCCAACCTGGTTATTCTAAAAGAGAATGTAAACAATGACTTGTTCATCAAGGGCCTGTCATCAAGGTTACATGGAGGTTTGAGCCGCTGTTGGTCAACCCTGAGAGTCAGAAAACTGGAGTGTGCTTACTGGTAAGTTAGGTGGCATTTGCACTTGGTGGCAGTCAGGTATGAAGTGAAGCCACTTTAACTCACCGGGCAGAGTCCACACGGGGCCCGGACCAAACCCGTGGGTGGGATGATTGGATTGACTGCTCTGTACAGTTTCATGTGTCCATCTACACTGCCAACCGTGCCTTCTTTTGCAGCAATGATAGTCATCTCCACTTTCCCATCATAAATGAGTGTATTTAAGATCGTTTCAATGTCCTCCATG